TTTGTATATAAATTCGTCATTTTCAAAGGTGAAACTCGAAATAAGAAGTTTTGAAAGGAACTTACAATTTGTGATTTTGATTATTACTGAAGTAACCTCCATTCTAAGAAGAGGCCTATGTCCAGCAGTGGACTATTAAAGGCTGTTGATGATGTGTGTGATGTGAAGTAATAGAAAGCGTTACTCTACATTTTTCATACAAACCCCTTGTTTCTGTTCGACGACTTAAAGGAGTTCAACACACTTGTGACCATTGAAACTGTTTAGGTACTATCAGACGAGCTATCTGAAAAAACCCCTATATCAGAAATAAAAACTGGTACTCCGGGAGTGCGACAGAAGTGAAAAAAGTTTTTTTTCGTTTCGATAAGTTCCGACATGATTAAATATATGCTGTACGTATATACACAATATGTTTATATTATCAATGTATTTGAACCCAAACTCAACTCTAGTGTAAACGGGGCCAATATATATAGATATAAACAGAGGTGTCGGTAACGGTAACAGGGTCGCGAGTTCAATGGTTTTTCCCATCTCAAAAAATATTTTTTTTTTGTTAAACCATAAAATACATTATTTTGTTTGTTGTTCAAAAATGTCCAACGCGCCTAAAAGAAGTTTTTACTTTAAAAATTTAGTTTCATACTATTTTTGGTTGCAACTCTCTTGGCATAGAGTAATAACCCGTACCCGTATGAACCTGACGGGTGGCTAACGTGGCGTCGAGCGCGTGTTCGTACTTTTCCTAAGAAAGTTGGTGGTGTAGTGTGTTTATAGTCTAACAATCTTTTTGACTACAAAGATATGGCGTATTCGCTGAGTGTTGTTGGTTCGAACCCTACATGGGACAACACTTCATTCTGATCCACAAATTTTCGTTCTGAGTCCGTTTCATGAATATTTGTGAAGTTCCCCTACATGGGCTATTATATTTCTTGTAAGGAAGTTTATAGTTTTTTCCTTTTAAAATAAATAAATAGCTCATGATGCTTGTTTACTATCTTAGTAGACATTATAAACAAGAGGTTACGTATATAGCATACAGTGCTTATTTACCACGTTAATATGCATAAAATGGATGCAGCGGCCATTTGCTTGTATCTCAATAAACTACTTAATTAAACCAAGTTGTGGTATCAGCTCTAATGGAACCAGTATCAACATGGAAATATCCACTTTCGACATTAACTTCTGTTTATATTTGTACTGACGTAAACAAATTTGTTAATCAATGTTATCCCAAACTACTACATGACATTGGATTTGTTATAGTACACCGTCCATTTGACCTCTCATGATTTTTTCGTTGCTTTACACCGATTGAGTGAGGTTATCGAATGCCAAACCCTCCTTCACCTGTTTCTGGAAGGGACTTAAAGAACGGCAACGCTCTTGAGTTGGAGGTGACCCGTCTGCTCGTTTGTTCCCCCATACACCATGAAAAGTGTTTGTGTAAGCTCCGACGCACGACTCGAGTTTACTCGTTCGGAACGATTCGACTGCACACAAATATACAAGTTATGCACACACATGTAAAAGGTTGCGCACAAAAAAACGTAACGAGGTCATTCGATCACTAAATTTTACTCCTCATATTTTTTTCTAAAGAAGTAAACAAAAAAATATGATTTTTAATAGTAAAACATCTATAGTTAATTCTATTCTAAATATACAATTTAATTTAAATATAAGATTTATTAGATTTTATTAATTTGTCTTGATTCTATCTAATACTCATCCAAGTTAACTATATCCAAAAGCAGATAGTATTGTATCAAAATTCACACATCACATCTACAGCCTTTTATACGAGGGGTGATCAATAAGTAATGATAATCATTCATCATCATAATTATTCCACCATAATAATTCCTTTTGCATCCCAGAAAACAGACGCCATAACCTTTCCCGCTGAACTTGACACTTTGAATTTCTTCGGCGTTGGTGAGGAAGCTCGTTTCCAAGTCATTGATTGTTGTTTGGTTTCGGGATCAAAGTTGTGGATCCAGGTCTCGTCCATGGTCACAAAACGCGACAAAAAAAATTCTTTATCGGCCTGGAACTTTTGAAGATTCACCCTCGAAATGTCGACTCGTTTCTTTTTTTGCTCGTCGGTTAACATTCTCGGTACCCAACGCGCAGAGACCTTTTTCATATGCATTTTGTTGACAATGATTTTTTGAACGCTGCCATAGGAGATCCCTGTGACCTCAGCTACATGCCTTACGGTCACCCTTCGATCGGCCAACACGATATCTTCCACTTTTTTGACGTTTTCTCCAGTAAGGGACGTGGAAGGGCGTCCCTCGCGATGTTCATCTTCAGTGGAGGTTCTGCCCAGCTTAAATTCCTTTGCCCAGCGTGCGACTGTGGAATATGGAGGAGCAGACTCCCCCAATGTTTCCTCTAAGTCGCTGTGTATGTCTTTGGTAGACATTTTTTTCAGGCAGAGGTACTTGATGACAGCTCTTATTTCATTTTTTCTCCATTTTGATGTTTTCTCTTCGACAGTTCGTATTCAAATGAATGTATCTCCCGGTAATGGTGTCCTATTTATACATTTTTTTGAAGCTGAAGTAGTGGATATATAAGCAAGCAGAAAAAAAAATAATTTGGGTTTTTGTGCGTTCTAGAAATACTCGATTATCATTACTTATTGATCACCCCTCATAGTCCACTGCTGGACATAGGCCTAGTAGGTTTTAGGCTACTATACCACGCTGGCCAGACGGGTTGGTAAAGGGTTTGTTTCAAGTTTTCCTTCTCCTTGCAGTGCTGTTGTCCTGCGTAGTTTGCTCCCTTAGTCGGCTCTTACGACACCTACGGGATGAATAAGGGTGGCGACACCTCTTTTCTCCTCTCTCCTGATAGTGCTGTGCCTGACAAGGTCCATAATTGTTACCCTATTTTTAAGCCTAACCTGTAAATGTGATTTAATACTTTGTCAATGATTTGGGTCAATTCTCCACAACACGGTCTAAATATCCAGTAGAGAACTTAAACATGATGTTCTTCGACTGTACCAGAGAAACTCGACACACTACTCTACAAGTAATGTTTACGCACTTATCGTTCACTTCACAGTTTCATTTTTAGGGTTGCGTAGCCAAAATGGCAAAAACGGAACCCTTATAGTTTCGCCATGACCGTCTGTCCGTCCTTCCGTCTTTCCACACTATATCTCACTAATTATTAGTGCTAGAAAACTCTAATTTCGCATGAACATACATACACAAAGACACACAAAGTTGGTATTTTTAGGGTTACTTGTAAAACTGTATTTTATAATTCAATTTTCAGTTACCTACCATCGCCCGTTTAAAAAATATATCAAATTTTATTCCTTATTCAGCACCTATGTATGTTGCGGTAGGTTCTAATGATGGGATATACAATGTATAAAAAGTATTGATTACATATCTTTATCGACAAGTTTTATTTAATAACTTTGTGCGAAAATGTACATCCTATCACTAGAAACTGCCGTAGGTGCTGAATGAGGAACATATTGCCTGTTCCGATCTACAACCTTCTTTTTCCAAGGGGTTAAGCTTTATGATAAAAAAGGACAAACCAACTCACGGCCACTCATTTTTTCACCCCCGATGCAAAAGCGACGGGGTGTTACAAGTTTGACGTGTCTCTGTATGTGTGTGTGTCTGTCACTGGCATCGCAACTACCGAACGGATGAACCGATTTTGTTTTTGTTTCAAAGGTGAATTAGTTGGCAGTGTTCTGAGCTATGTTTGATGGTATCAAATGAAAGAGCTTGACTAGTAGAATACTATACACTATAACAAATCCAAGATATGTGTTGGGGGTTTTTTTAATTTTTAATTTAATAATAATTCATCTTTAACCCTCCGTTTGTGCTTATCTGCAGTCCGTTACTTCATACTTTTCAATGCACATCTTCATCTACCTTAATAATATATAATGATGCAACATCGGCCCCTCCTTAAGTTCAAGTAATATTTTTTTTACGTACGGCACTCACGAGTTGGCAGTTTCGCAAACGTGTTTGTCCATGTTTAGTAATGTTTGCATTCGCGATTACCTATATATGTCCAATATAAGATATACATGTTGTATTTATGTACTTAGTTTTTGTGTCAGTGAAGACAGCGTATTAATATTTATTTACCATATAAACGTTTATTTGCGTAAAAGGTCGGTGTAATAAATTAATAAGATTCTTTAAATTTACTAACGAAAGAGAATTAAGACCATAGATAAGTATTACATACTTTTGAATCGCGTGACGTATGGATTCGAAGGCCACTTCTCCTAATAAAAGTTCGGCCACAATTCAGTTCCGATCAACTTTCGATCTCCCAACTGTCATAAAAGATATTTTCGTAGTAAAGTATTAAACATCCAACGTTGACTGTAATGTGTTTATATTGTATTGTAACTGGAAATTGTATCGGTAATCTGCAAAAAAAGTTTACTACGAAAATACCTTTTATGACAGTTGCAAGACCGAAAGTTGATCGAAACTGAATTGACACAACACAACACCGAACTTTTATTACCAGAATTGGACTTCAGGTTGCACTGGCCCTGGTCACAGGCAACTTGTTTCCCGAACTAAACCCTCACCAAAAAGGAGCAAATCCATAACTTAATTAAAAATTATTAACTAAAATGCACCTTATTAATTATTTTCACACCACGAGACTGGTAGAATACGATACGATAGAATTCTTATGGCATTAAGACCACCGTTAAGCTAATAAGCTACGGGAGCATCTATTTAATAAATAAATAAATTAAATATCGAGAATCGAGAAAAAATAAAAAAATAAATAAAAAAAGATATAAATTGGCATGAATCGAGAAGTGTAGCTGAATCAGAACGATTCGATCACATTCCTGTAAATCGAACTAACAGTTATTCAGCTCTCACACGTTCCTGTTAATCTAAAAACCAGTACCTACAATAACACAGTTGATTAGTTCAACCATAACCTAGAATTTTCCGTTTAATAGGTAAATGAAACACTTAATCCTCGTCCGACATGACGGTATGTTAAATGCTGTTTCCGTTTTATTAAGAATTTTCAAGTTAAAACTTCACATACTATCAAGGTTATTGCAGGCAATAAATTAAAATGTGTCTGGCGTAACTTTCAAGTTATGTATTATTCGTAAAAAAATGTGTATTAAACTTACGTGCTTTGCATACATATTGTTATTTAAAGATAAATGGTTAACACAGTTTACCCAATCGTGAGTGCCGCTATACCGTAGAACTGTGTTCTAAAAAAATCTTGGCTTTAACGTCTTAACTTTTTCTCTCTAAATCACTATAAAAAACTTAGATACCACTATTATTATCTACATTGGGTTCAGTCGTAATAAATAGTTTCCTTTTTAAATTTCTGTTTTATCGTAAAAAACTGTTAGTGGTAATTTATTTATTTAAGCGATTTATGAAGTATACAAATTTACTTTTCAAAAATACCTGTTAAAAAAAATTAACATATGCGTTTGTATTGTTACAGATACGGTGACCTATTCGCATACCCTGGGGAACACCGACCATGATCTTACATGCTTTCCTTCAGGTGACTCCAACTCAAACATCCTTTCTACCCACCCCCCTATTTCTACCCATTCCTATAACTTAGATAGCCAAACCGGACACTATTATGACAAAAAACAAGATTTACTAAATACAGCTGTGTCGAAAGCCTCTACAAAGACTGAAGATGACTTTGATGTTAATGAATATTTTGCGAGGTTACAAGGCACACGTTACGTCAGTGCTCCGTTGCATAGCCATCCTGACCCGAATGCTAATTTAACAGAAACGGAAGAAAATTTGGAGGAAATAAACTTGAACGACGATAAGACATCAGAGGTGCAGCAGAGTTTAACATCCGATATTGCTCAAAATTTTTCACAGCTACCGAATGTTTTACCACACGTTGCGAGCGCTGTGTTCAGCTCTTTCTCAAACATGTGGAGTATGAAAAGTCGTGAACAGACTCCCGATGAAAGAGCTCACAGCTTACAAGATGTCCAGTTTCAAGAGAACCAGGCTCCAATTCAATTCCAAAGTATTCAGGGGTCTCAAAAATATGAAGACGTACAATTTCAAGGGACTCCAGATTCAAATCAGTTTCAAAGCCAAGGTTTCACGAGTAACATTTCGAGTGTGCCAGTGATGAAGACTGAGGATGCGGTGAAAGAGGTAGCCCCTCCACCGAAGGAACCTCCAACAAGTGGTAAGTAATGAATATTATATCTTTTTTATTTTTTTACACTTCCTACAAATAGATCAGATTCTGCCAGTCCATCTTTTGATGATGCAGAGACGTGATAGGCAGAAATATAATTATAATAAACAAAGAAGTAAGCAAAATACGGCTACATTTAATTATTTAATTTAAAAGTTGATGTAAAACCATGTAACCCAGAGTATGTGGTTGAATTGTAACAGATTTCTTAACACTATATTTTTTCACCGAACTAATGCCATAACCTTCGCCAGAGGTCATTGGAATATTACCGCAGTATATAATTTGTACAAATAGTTTTGCATGTAGCACATAGTTAAACACACGCCATATTAATTTGTAACTGACCCGCGCGACTTCAACTGCGTCTCCCCCCCCCCCCCCCCCCCGTTTTTGCATTATTTTTCATTGATGTTCGGTTCCGAGCTACGACCTCGTGATGGTATATAGCCTACAGACTTCCTTGTTAAATAGGCTGTCCAATACTAAAATAACTCGTTAATTCCAACCAGTTCCTAAGATTAGCGCTTTTAACTAAGCAAATTAGCTCTTCAAGTTTATTCTATTAGTATAGATGATTATTGTCCAATTCGAGTCGACTGACTATGTAATGCTTCAGATCTAGAAAATACCACAGAACAATATTAAAATGCTAGTTAATTCTGTATGTCTCTCTGGCATCGAAGTTCAAGAGAAGAAGAAGAAGTTTAAAAAGGCATAACTTATACTCATTACCTGGGTTTGGTTTATACCAGATAAACAAAATTCTCTTGATATAATGTCAACCTCCTCCTTTCTAAGGAGAGGCTTATGTCCAGCAGTGGACTGTTATAGGCTGTTGATGATGATGATAATGTCAATAATTGACTTACTAAATACATACAATTTCAATTGCGTAGCTCCTATACTTAAGTTTTTCTTGATATCTAAAAAACACCGATTTCGTCACTTTCACTGATCATCATCAACTGCCTTTACTGCTGGAGGTTTTGGCCCACTATACCACGCTGCCCAGACGGGTTGGTATAGGGTTTGTTTCAAGTTTTCCTTCGCTTTGCAATGCTGTTGTCCTGCGTAGTTTACTCCTTTAGTCGGTTTTTACGACACCCACGGGATGAATAAGGGTGGTGACACTGTATTCTTAATCCGTCACCACACGGCTGTCACTGATGATCATCGAAATTCTATATGATGAAACTTCCTGAAGTCCTAAAAAGCTGTAATTCGGTGTATGTAAGCTAGTATTATATAATAGTTCTTGTAGCAACGAATCGGCCAAGCCACGTATTTTGACTAAGGTGTAGATTTTGTGAAGTTGGGGCTCTACTCTACAAGAGTTAGAAGCTTAGCTCTATATATGATCTGATGATAACTTTTTGAAAGTTCGAGCTATTTGGTATCGTCTTGGCAACATTTTGCATAAAAATGTTTTTGGTGGGATCATTATTGCCAACTATGTAGAGTACTCACATAACATACGTACATACATACACTCGCAATCATTCCCCTCCGGAATAGACAGACACTGAAGAACGCCATTTACCAGGATCCTGATAGCTCACACACCTTCCACATTTATCAGACCTTTCATACATGCTCTTCGGTTACTAGTTCTTTGAACGAGGCCTTTCCTCAGGAAACTGCCGATCTGGGCAGTTTATGTGTTGCAGACGGGCTGCAGCTTTTATTCACACTGGCTCATTCTGTCACAAAGACCTAATAAACTCCATTAATGGTTCGTTTTTCGCTCATCTATTCAATATGGCCAAATCCTATAACGTATTTCGCATAAAGTAACTACTTGAAGCATTTCACTTAAATAATATACATGCAGGAACTAACTAGCACAGTGCGTATAATGACTTGTGAGCAATTATAGGTTTCTGGACGTAGTGATACGATACGTTTCCATTGACGTACGTTAAAATAGTTACCGTCTGCGATTGTTAAATTCAGTAACTTTTATAATGACTGCAATAAGCAGGTCATATTTTTTTGTTAAATATGTTACCTCAAAACTCCGTCAGTTATGAACCAATTTGGATAGTTACATTTTAAAACTTTCCGTGTGGTGTTGGATTAAGAATACGGAATGTCACCACCCCTATTCATCCGTAAGTGTCATAAGAGCCGACTAAAGGAGCAAACTAAAGCGAAAGAAAACTTGAACCAAACCCTACACCAACCCGTCTGGCCAGCGTGGCACAGTAGGCCAAAACCTCCTTTCTTAGGAGAGGCTTGTGTTCAGAAATAGACTGTTAAAGGCTGTTGATGATGATGATGTTAAAACATTTAAAGTGTTTAAAATCACTGATTATGTCAATTAAGTTGGAATTAAGAAAATTTGTTTGCATAAATACACACACACACACACCTCTATATCGTGATCTGATAGGCAACTGTGTGTTATAAATACACATTTTGATAACTGTAATTTGTTTTTACTTACTTACCGCGGGCAAACCTACCGCCGTTTTTGGGATAAAATATAGCAAAATTCCGAATAGTTTAAAAGTGAAAATAAGATAAGAAATTAAGTTAATCGAAAGAAAGGTTGTAGCAACAAAATTTGACTGCACGGATGGCGTAGTTGATTAAGCGGTTGCCACGCCGTGCCGCTTCCTACTGCGCTGTTTTGTGGGTTCGATCCCCACATCTGTGTGATCCACAAATTCTTGATGAGTCTGGGTGTTCTTTGTGTTCGTTTCATGTATGTTTGTATATTCATAATGCGGTGGTTGTTTTTTAAAAATAAATGAAAATAATAGCTTGTGTAGGTTAACATGGCACATCTGTAACTGCCTGTTATTGGCAAGTACAAGCCTTAAAGAAAGAAACGCTCCAATGGAGACACACATTAGTTCGTGATTGAAAATATAATTGCTGTGCCAGACAGCTCGGCGCAGGTTCGAAACTGGTTTGGGCACTCACTAGGAAGCAGGAGTTTCTCATACTAGATGATGGCTAGCGTGAAATCTCGATCGATAACTTGTAATAGCAACAGTACTTTGAGTGCACGAACGGCCTATAGTAGTTCAAGTGGTCGCCGCACCGCTTCCTACTGCGCTGAGTGTTGTGATCCACAAATTGCTGATCTGAGTCTTGGTGTCCTCTGCGACACAGAAATATATTCTTAATGCGGGAGTTGTCTTTAAAAAAGAAGAGAGAAAAGGAAGAAAAGACGGCGTGTGGGGGTCTAGTTCCTCGCGCTTTTTGGTAGAAATTAGCTATAGTGTCGGCAAAAAGTCTTGTTTCACATGTTTCGGTCTCGCTCCCATCCGCTCAGAGCCTGTAATGCGCGATAAGGAACTTCGTTCCAAAAAACTTTGCATTTATAGAATGGACTTCCATTAAATTATGTGGAGTACTCGAAATGGTTTCCCCATTTGGCAGGCACAACTGAAAATTTACCTAAATGTTAATCGGCGGCGGCGGTGTTTGCTTACCATCAGGTGACACTCCGCGTCCCGTAAAAAATGAACCTCCGAATCGCAATATTAGGTCTTTACCTATGAAATTGCCGTTTTGTATGCAATGAGCGAAAGTACTTATTTTTTCAAACTTTTTTATTTCTGTTATTCGAAGTAATCACCCATGCAATCGACGCATCTTTGCCAACGCATTGGCAGTTTATTGATTCCCTTCTTGTAATAATCAGCTGGACGGGGCAACAAACTCTTCAAAGGCATTTTGTATTGCCTCTCGGGAATTGAATTTTTTACCCACTAAAAAGTTGTCTAAATTTTGGAAAAAGTAATAGTCGGTAGGTGCAAGGTCTGGTGGTCACATCTGCAACCAGCTTTGGTCAATCGGTCGTCCCCACTGCTCCTTCGTGTGTTAGAACTTTTTTAACCTTCTATCCCTGAAAGAGCTTGAAAACTAAGTAAAACATGGCTTTTTTGGGATCATCCCCCGATACATCTGGTTTGCAGTGCCAATTGCTGGCTTTTTCGTTGGCAAATACACGTACAAATACATTTATACGGATGACTAACTTTAGGGACAAATCTGCCTTGGGATGGGTGGCGTGTACAGCCGGGAGACCCACCATACTGGCCATTACATCTCATTAATTTGTAACTTATAGTTTAATATTCCTCAGCAATAAATTAGTGTGATAGTGTATAATTAACTTCGGTGGTGTCGTTAACAGAAAAAAATAAAAGTTCTACCTCTAGGTTAAATTAAGTTTTATAGCTCCAACAGGATTCTAAAGACACAACTCGTCAAGTTGAAGTCAGCAGGCAGAACAGGTCTACGTAATTGCCAACTTGTGCAACAAGGAAATCATAGTTTCGCATTTATTCATATATTATCTAGTCCAGTTTATGAATGACTGAGGAAAAATTATAGTTTAATTGGTAAACAAACCTTATTGTTAAACAAGTTCAAACAGGTTTTTAATTCGGTGACAGATGTCTATTTTTAGGACTGCCAAGGAAGGGTTATGTTTTTCGCGTGTATTTTGGATGTTTGTTTGTAAACCTCGTATCTTTCAAATAGCTGGATTTGTTTCCACAGTTAAGGTATTGTTTTATCAGTCTTAAAAACCCAAGTATCTTTAGATGGCTTTTTGAAAGAAAAAACAAAATGGCGAACTTTTGGCACAAAATATTAATAGGTTAATAAAAAGAAATTAAACAAACCTGTCGAGTAGGGCAGCGAAATCAAAAAAAGGAGTTCTCAAAAATATATATATTTAAATTTAATAAGGAGTAATAAATCGGTTTAACAGTTTTTAAAAATGTGTCATGTTTGTGTCGGACCACGTGCTGTTTCGGTCTTTTTAGTGGACTACTCTTATAAATTGTCTTTTTGCAATCGGGTTTTTATTTTTTTTTATTACTGTATCTGTATTATGGATATCAAATACATTTCGGATTTTACTAATTAAGAATCAATAATCTTTAACATATAAGGCGCCTGGTATGAATAAAATATGACGAGTAAAATTTATTGATTGAACGACCTCGTTACGTTTTTTAGTTCTAAATGTAACTTATAGATGGCGGTTCAACTATTTACTTTTATGTCGTTGTAATAATATTTTAATGAGTTTTTTATTAGTTCTATAATTGCAATTTATTTCTGTTTAGTGAGTAGTCCACTACAAAATTAAAATTGTATTCAAACGGAATAAACCCCAAAAGAAATACCAATTAATACGTGACTTTTAATTATTTTAAAATCATTTACACGAGTAAACTCCAGTCGTGCGTCGGAGCTGACACACACACTTTTTTTTTGTCTGTGGAATGGTGCACAATCGAGCAGACGGGTCACTTAATGGTAAGTGATTATCAAAGCCCATAGACACTGCCAACTGTGTTACAGGATGTTCCCTATTTTAGGCTCAGCTAAAATCATAAATGTGAAAGTGTGCCTGTCTGTCTCACAGGCCAACAATATTTTTCTCCAGAAACAATATTACAATATCTCAAAAACCTGACGTGATAGAGCAATTCTTGCTTCCGAATTTGGATTCAGCGCACTAAAATCCTTCGGGAAAGTATACTCTGGTTTCTGGGGAAGAAAATTTGTCAAAATTTTGTTGGCCTGTATCTGTTTACGCTTAAACCGCTGAACCGATTTAGATAAAATTTGGTTTAGTTTTTACATCGAGAAAGCTTTCTTTAATGGGGTAAAAAGGGGGTAGATGTTTGTATAGGAAATCAAGAACAAGGACATGGGCATTTATACCACAATAACCGACACACACGCGTGCGGAGCCACGGGCAAAAGCTAGTTGTATAGAAAGACACAATATATTATTCTTTGTTATACAGTAGCATTATGTTGATTTGTTTATAAATAACTTCCTCACTATCCCAATGTCATTATGCCCCGGACGATGTTATTTACACACTATTGTTTTTTGTACTACTAAGGTGGCAAACTATCCATTATCTGTTACTGTAAGGAACAACTGTCAATACTCAAGTAGTTTGAAGATAACATGTTAATAATTGTGTAATAATTGTTTGTTTTGTATTGTTGCAGGTGCCTCGAATTTTAGATTGTCAACAACAAGAAAAAAATACGCACAAATACCGGGTCTATCGACTGGAGAATCACAACAAATAGCATTCAATCCACTGACACAGAATGTTCCCTCATATTTTATTCCAACCGACTTTAACACCTCTGAAGAAAACGAGAAAACGGATACAGTAGAATGTTCTAATAATATCACGGAACCAATATCGAAAGATAAAAACGAAAGTTATAACATATTTACACCTGTACATGACACTACAACTGAAGAAATATCTAATCCTATTCACGCATTTATGCCAGACAATAACTTTCACAAACCACTAGAAGAGACACTTCCTCCCATCAATTTACAAAATGTAATTCCGGATATACCTCCACCACCAATGTTTTCCACACAACGTAAAGAGAATCCTGCTGGAAAGTCTATTTTACCGCCATCGGTCGCCCGTCGTATTGGCTCAAATCATCCAGTTATGAAACAACAAATAATCCCACCGTCTCTAACTGATAATATATTTGTACCAACGTTTGATTCCACCCCGACTAATGAGCCCAATATATCTTCTGATGGTACTGCTATACCAACACATAATACACAAATGTTTACTTCCAATATAAACTCCCCTTTTCAGCCGTTGCGACAAGAAATTCCTAGTGCTTGGCCAACGAATTTACCTGCTCAAATATCACACCCATCTTCAACTATTCCACAATCGGCGCCACCTATGAATAAATCATCAAGCTCCACAATTACATTCCCTTCACAGCCAGACCCCAACTCTAAGGAGGTTTTACCTGAAAATAAACCAGCACCATACATATTTGAATCTATAAAACAAACGGTTACTCCAAGCATATTTACACCTGGTTTTTCGGACTCCGCATCTCCGCCATCGAGTTCAGGATTATTATCTTCTCCACCAGAATCGACACGGCTTCCACCTCCGACAAATGTATTTTCTCCACACCCTTCCGTTCCACAAGCTATAACAGCATCATTCTCTGCTGCTACAACAGTTGGTTCGTATACAGAACAGAATCTAAGTCTATTTACTATGCAAACACCGAACCAGACTAATTTATCTAGTTTGGAGAGTAATGCTGCAGAAACACAACTATTATCACATCCACCAAAGTCACTAGTTGAACCACCTAAAGTAATAGGGGCATCCAACTTTAGGATGATAAAGAAAAGGCCACAGTATTACTCAGGACCAATAGAAGGCTTTGGCTCGATAAGTAATAATATAAAACCTATCATACCTGCAGTAGATTCTGGCACATTCCAAGGAGCTCTATTTACGCCTGAACAAGCTCAGCACGATACAAGTATACCATCGTTTGATATAAATAAACCTACTGAAAGTTCAGCATCGTATACACATTCTGAAGTCAGTCCTGTTGCCAATCTAGGTTCAAATTTAACTATGCCACCATTTATGAATCAGGAATCTACTTACGCAAACTATAATACAACACCATTTCAAGATGATAATAATCCTTACGATGTTAGCAGATCTAAAGCTCAAAGTTATGAATCTAAAGAGGAGATAAAAGAGTCTAAAGGGTTCGGCATAATTGGGTCGCTGAAGTCTAAACTTAGTAACATAGATATCAATAAGATTCAAAGTAGTGTGACAACGTTCTTCGATCCCGGCTATACTAACACCAAAAAGGATGATTTCGTTGCGCAGGAAAATATACCCTATAATCCTCCTCAATATCATGCTCAACCTCAAAGTAACATCGATATTTTTGTACCAAATATCGAACCAAGCATGCCATATAGTTCGAACAGTCAAGGTTATCAAAATATATATGGTCAAGGAAACTATGATAACTCAGGCCAGTACAATATACATCAGCAAAATCCACCATTTATGGATCAAAATTACCCTAACCAAACATACTCAAGGAATTACTATTCGGAGCAAATACAAAATCAACATCACGTAAGCAATATATGCTCACAGGGCAACACTGCAGATATCATTACTAGTAATCTACAATCCACAAGTAATACAAATATACCAAGCAAAATTGAGACAAAAGATTCAAGTAAAAATATTAATTATACTCAAACTGAAGTATATCCAACTAATGAAACGGACAACTTTTCTGAAATTTCAAGTTTACTGCACACTGAAGTCAAGAATGAAGAAAACACCAGTAATTTAGAGACTAAACCGGAACCTGCAATGAAAAGCAAATCATATGAATTTGAGTGTTCAATAACGGAAATCATAGATTCAACGTCAAAACTGTCTAATATAATACCATGTCCTGGTGAATACAAAGATACTATTGTAAATAATTCTCTGTACGAACCCCCTCAAACTATTGCCGAACAAAAATCACTATTTGAAACTTCAAGTAACTTTTATCCGAATCAATTTGAAGAGAATCGAGATAATATGCCAAAACAAACGTTTGCTATTGAAACTAAATCTACTACTCAATCAGTTATGTCTTCGAACACAGCACATAATATAAGAGATAAGGTAGAAAATACGAAAAAAGATAACTTATTGGAATCTTTGTCCAAAGAAGATGTACCCATATTGGGTGTTTCATCAGTACCATTATTTGGCCTTGCTACAATTGTAGGTGATAAAGCTAATAAGAGCAATGAACAAAGTTATGGAATAGGTTTACCTTTATATGAAAGAATAAGAAATAAAGATATAATCGACAGGAACGCAAGCATAAGTTTCTTTGATCATGTAGGCGTGAAAGACCAAAAAACATTAGGCCAAGGCGCTTTTAATATTGATAATACATTAAAATCAAAAGATGAGGAGTATCATGCTCAAATAACAAGTGCTAGTTATTTTACTAATGATGATATTCCCGAAGAAAATGTTAATATTACAAAAAGTGATGTAATGGTAGACAGGGAGGTAAATCTATTTGAAAATATTGGTGCTAAAGCAAAACCTGGTGATTTTGATATAAATGAAGAAACAGTATTAGTTAAGAAAGAAAACGTAGACCATTTCAAAGATATTTATAAACCAGAGGATATTGAAAATGTTTCTGAATTGAACATTTGTGAAACTTGTAGAGAAGTATATAAACCGGAAGAAAAGGACATAGATAAAGATGATCTGACTACGCAGTTGATAGAAAATATAACATCACCTATACAATTGTCAAATCCTGTTGAAGTTCCCTTAACCGAAGATAATAATGGTGAACAAGTTGAATTTGATGCTGAGCAGTTTGAAGAAATATCTCACATCACTGAAGAAACAATGGAAAGTATAAATGTACAGTCAGTTACTGAACTTTTAGATGACGATGGTATTAAAAGTATGAATTATGAATGGACAGCTGGTGAAGACTATACATCAAATCCACTGAAACCTCATGATTATGCCTTCCAAGGCAATCGTAATGCAGTTGGATTCTTTGGTGATTCTCCATTGAATAATAAAGTACCAAAAAATGCTAGCGATGAATTGAAGGCTGAATTTAGACACCAAGTTGTAATATTACCCAGGCAGATGAGTATACCATCTGCACCACCAGCTGAGGAGGACTCAAAGTTTGATGAAAGTGGTGTTTTAGATGTTAATTCTATAGAATTAGATGCGAAAGAAGACTTTCCTGTATACGAGGAATTTGTTATAGAACCTTCTGAAACCGATGACGATAAATTAGAATTCAAGGAGAGAGAGAAAACAGAAGAAAACGAGCTAGATTCATTTACGAATAGGGTAGAGAAGTTTAAGAAAATGGAAGAAGTGGCTGATAACGTAGAAAGCAAACCTGTGCTTAAATTACATGAATTGCATAACCAACCAGTAAGCATGGCATCCTATTTCGACACCGGAAACTATGCAGCAGAAACTCATTACAGGAACATATTAATTTCACCAAGTAATATAACGATACCACCAGGTTTCGAAGAAGAGTTTAAGAAAAGGCTAGCTCTGGCCAACGAAAAAAACCTTTTAAAAACGGTTCCAGATACGCAGACTCAAACTAAATCTACTGTTTCCGTAACCACAGCGCAAAGTATAATGCCAGTTGGTTTTAATGTTGTAAGCAATTTTACAAAAGCAGTTATAACTGACACACTGACTGAGACGCCTCTTTTCATGGCAGAATCAGTCAAAATGACGGAATCGTCATCAATATTTGATTCTCAAGAAAAGGAACCAGCTTCTTTTATAAATTACGGATCTTTTGATATGATGAAACAACCGTCTGAAATTGCTTCTGAAGCCATAAAAACAGACATCATTCCTGGCAGTTCAATTTTTCCGACAATATCTGGAGATGACAAGATTGGAGTCGTCCAAATGCCTGAAGCGTCATCCGTTTGTAAACCTGATGCTGTCGAAATGCCAAAAGTTTCATCGATTTTCGGTTCCCAAGGATTGATTCTAGAAACCTCAAATATCTTTGCCTCTAGTAAACCAAAAATACCTGAACCATCTCTCCTTTTTCCTCCTAGCAATTTAGGAATCGATGCGAATGAAACTAATACAGAAAAAAGAATGGCCGCACCTGTACTGCCAGATCCAATGAATTTCTTTGCGGATTCTACTCCTGAGGCGCCTTCCGAAAATATTAACAGATTAGCCAGCTATTTCAGTTCTCCCCCTAAAACCGAACATGCGAAGTCTTTTTTTGAGTTAAGCCAAAGCCAAAATCATTATAAATATTCCACAAGCTCCCAAAAATATGAAGATCTAATCAAAGATTTAACTTCAGTCCAAAACTTGGCTGTACCTACCGATCAAACTATAAGACACGTAAATTATTTTACAGTAGAATACGATGTTGTGCCTGAATTTAGTAAAGGCGATAACTCAGCAGACGTATTGATCGACACTGATGAAAAAGATTTAGAGTCTTTAAATCACTGTAGTTATTGCACTGCACTAATTTACGATAAACGTTATAAAGTAAAATCTTCAATGAATAACAATACAGAAGAACCCAACAGTGAGCCAAATATGGAAACGACCAATAGCGGGCCGACGAATTCTGTGACGGTTAATTTCGACGGAATTCCGTTAAATGAAGAGACAAATGAAGGAGTGGTTATACAGGCAGAGGTAGGGGTTGTTTTTAAAATTGTTTTCTAAGTTAATGTCTTCTTGTTAAAATGAAAATGTAGGTCCAGGAGAGGTAAAATATTAGGGTTGTTTATTGACCTGTAATATTTTATCTTTTCTGAAAAGCAAACAGGAGCCAGCTATTTGATTTGGTCAATGAGTGTCGCTAGAGTTGGCCGCATCACACGAAAGGATATCAGATGTTACAGATCATATGCGACTACTGTCAGACTCGCACCCTTTTTGCCAATCTATACTATACTATATATATATAAAAATTACTTTATCGACCGTCCTAACCCGATCCACATCATCTGTATTAGGTACATTAGCGGCGTCTCCGTCTCTTTTTCCCTCACGTTGTTAGAAACAGACGGGTGGTTTGGTTGTGGCTGCTCTTCTACATCTATGAACTTGTTAAAATATATTTAGGTTATAAATCTATACATATTTTCTAAACCCAAACCTCTAGGCCAAAACCTCCTTTCTAAGGAGAGGCCTATGTCCAGCAGTGGACTGTTAAAGGTTGTTGATGATGATATTTTCTATGTAGATTCATCAACGCAGAGCCTATACCGCTGTGGCTACAAACTTGAAATTTTGGCTGATGATGTTCCGACACCAGATTTTGTATGCTCATATCTAAAAAAAATCTATTTACCATCGCATGTACTGCGAATTATGAGAATAATTCTGAAACTAAACTATCTTAGCTTCGTTTGCGCCAAACACCAGTTTGAAAATATTAAAATAATGTGTTGCGTTGCGATTTCGACCGTTTGAAAAACTCAGTAGGTTATCGCACGTCACATGGGTAACATCTGCGGGCACTTTTAGCGTTCCATAGTTATTCGCACCAATTTTAGTCATTCGATATATAAAACAAATAATATGGCATCTTATTCGGCTACTTAAATAATAAAAATAATGAGAAACTCACGTATATGACACTTCGTCAGCAGAACCCCAACATCGTCAGAAGAGATATAAAAGGGTAGTCAAATATAAATGTACGTGATGAACGCTGTACGATCTAAATTGTACTTTATTGTGTCATGGCAAGAGTCGGTATTTATTTATTCAGTAGAACTTCTGAACTGCTAATATTTTATATAAGCTTTGAACCGTTTTTTAGTCTGCTGACGTTCAGAGCAATCCTTTCTCAGGAACTCTCTCTCTCTTAAACTCTTCAGGAACGAGATCCCGTGTCGAAACACCGTGGTCGGTTCAAGTCTGACGTCTTTCCCTGATGAATTGATGTGCTTTGGGGATTTGTACACAATAAACATGTATCTTAAAGCCCTGGCAAATACTTGCAGCATCGCTCCAGTCCAGAATACGGTCCAGTAAAACACCATTGGTTTTATCGAGTAGACGTGGAGGACAAATCAATATGGCGAGGCTTCTCTGTACAGGATTCCAGAGCTTTGGAGAGCAGTTACCTCAGTCGTAAGTATATTTTATTAGGTTTCAGGTACTTGCTGAAAAAGATGATGAAAATAAACAATGTTTTAACTAAACTTTCTTTAATTATTTCTGGCTGTTGATGATAAAAGACATCTTCCACGTACAGTAAAAACCTTACTAGAACGCCATCTAGCGATGAAGAGCTGCAGTTTTCAGTAACTACTTATAACTCGGCATCGCGTAAATAAATCCTCTCTTTGTGTTGGAGGGACTTAGCGCCCGTTCTTCCACAATGTCAATAATAATCTATTGATATACTTAAAGGTATTATAACTTCTTATGAACGAAATGGGAAAAAATTAAGCATTACTTTTCAGGACTCAGAATGTAAATAAATATTTTAATCTAAAACAAGTTATATTAAATAAATGTTTCTTTAAATTTTCAAATTAATCAATTAAGGATTTCTTTTTCCAATCCATGTTTGTTTGTCTGTGTCAACGTGGCTTGCAAACGGCTGAATAAATTTTGTACTAACCGTTTTATTCATATGAATTCAATTTTTTTGTAGCGGATTTGAACGAGAGCACCCTGGTGCCAACAGACGGTGGAAGGTATGACGTGAACCTGATGGGTCGGTTGAGGATTCCTGTGTACTGGAGCGATAAGCCGACCAATGTGAGAAGGTAAGATTAATATGCTCGATACGAGAGTCCAGCCTGAAAATACTTTCTTTGCAGTATTAGTCGTAAGAGTTAAAATGAGAAACAAGCATGATAATTATTATCAAAGACATTTAGATCACTATCTGCAGGTGAGGCTTACAGGATACACCTTTAACCTTCTGCCATCTATCGATAGTAAGCCGAACTAGATACTTAATCCTAAATCGCGATGCGAGAGTTTTTGCGCCGAATAGTATTGCGCACCCTTGGAATTAAAGCGACATACATAAATACACTCGCCTTTCAAATCACCGTCGCATAACTGTAAGTCGAACTAACTTTTGCCGGGATATCCTGGTTGGACGTGACCTAAATCTCGGGGAGACCGGTGGAACTAAAATCACACAGTCCGGGTCCTGTCCAGAGGTGCCTGAGGTGGACCGTCGTGGCTTTTAGTGGAACCACATACTCCTGGCTACTGCGTCCCTTAGGAGCTGGAGATCCGAAGGCACTGTCACCAAAAAAGAGACCTGACCTCAACTGCCTGGTACAGCCGATTATTACCCGTGAATTATCTTAAATTGACTATAAAAATATCAATGTCAATGATATGTTTTAAAAGTTACTAAAGACGTTCTTGTTGATCCCTGACCTTGAAAATTATCTAACTGATGGTGAAAACCGCATGAAATGCTGTCGCGTGATTTAGAAGTTAGCCTGTACTATGGTAACCGGACTGCTGATAAACATACATATTATAGATATATTACACCCAGACACAGAATCTATGAATATGCTCATCACAGAATATTTTTACTGGGTGGGATACCCACGACTTCTGTCTTGGTAATCAGAATCACTAACCGCTAAGACCTACAGGCCAGACGCTGAAACTGACTTTGTTTTATACTATGTTAAGAATAAAGGTATTGGATTCCAGATGTAGCTGGTTCTACAAAGGCACTACAGATCCAAGATATGTCCCGTACACGGAAACCGTAGCTGAGAAACTTGAGGTGAGTTGATTTTTAACATCACATCAACAGCCTTAAATAGTCCACTGCTGGACAAAGGCCTTTACTTAGAAAGAATGTTTTGTCCCATTATACCGCGCTGGCTAGAGGCCTTAGTGATTATTCCCATATTGGTTTAGAAATATTACTTGATTGAGTTTTCTAAGATATAATTCGAGATCTTTTCAACACTTCAAAAGAACAGGTATATAGATAAGGTATGGTATAGATGGCAGACGAGCAAAGTAATGGTAAGTGACACAGGTGCACTGGCGCCCTTCGGATAGCCCTCCCCCCCATGAACTAGGAGGGAGAGGGCTGTGACTCGGTATAAAGTATCGAAATTATGGCCTAACACCGGTTTTCTGTAAGGCAGTGGTTCGACTCCGGTCGAGATGGCTCTCGCACGGCAAGTTCGTTAATTTATTCACATAAATGTTTCCAGGATGAATACTGGCACGGCATCTCTACAGGCGAATGGCACAGACGCCTGGTGCTGCCCAACGGCGAGGTGGTAGTTATGCACGGACCCAACGTGATGGTACACTTTTTGCACAGCGATGCTTTCAGCACACCACCGGTAAGTAACCCCTCTTTTATCCATCTGCATAAAATTTTCGTTTTTTTAAAACACTAAACAAAGAACTAAACTCGAAAAAACAATAAAAAACAAAACTATTTTTTTATAGAAATGATTTTTTCTAGAGTACAAAATAGAAAGAATATATATTAGTTAACTCGTATTTAACATGATTTGGAACATTAAAGTAATTACATACTTATTCATACGTATTATTAGGATTAGGATTAGATGTTATGATTATAATCGTGATTATAATATTTTTCGACCACGATTATAATTAAAATTGACGATTTATTAGCGGATTTTACTACATTAATCTCCTTACCTCTAGTAGATTTTATTTTTATAGGTTTTTTAACACAACCTTTATTACACAATACATAATCCTAACTCCTTTTTAATATCATCTCCTTCTATCCAGCCAGCTAATCCCTTCTCCCAACTGTTCTCCTTCGGTAAGCGTGTCTACCGAAACCCTCCGAAGATCAGAGTGTCAAAAGACCAGCCTCTGAAGATTGACCACTTGATATTCTTGGTCCATGGCGCTGGAGAGTATCGGATACAGAAAGAGAAAATTGTTAGTCTACCCTCAAATTTCAAAGGAATCATCCATAAATTATGCAAACGTTAAAGTAAGGGTGGGAATCGGCGTAGTGTGATAGTAATAGCAGAGGTCATAAGTTTTGTGACATAACATGTTATACGAGGGCTGCTATTTATATATCCGGAACTGGCCAGTTACAGAACAATATTAAAAACGTAATTATAACATTTAAAAATGGAACTCTTTGGCTGAAGAATACAATTTGTTTCATGTAGTCATTTGTTTATCCTTTGTGGCGCCATTTTGAAAATTGTGTGTCTATATCACCATGGATTTAATTCGTGAATATTTTCGTGCAATGATTTATTACGATTTCTGAAAACCAGTGCATCGATCAACTCACTTCGACTTTTGGGCCAGAAGCACCATTAAAAACAACTGTGTATCACTGGTTTGGTGAGTTAAAAAAAATGTGACAAAAATACAGTCAGGGTGCGTCAAAAGCAGTTTATAATATCTATACAGGTGATTAATCTTGGATATATGCGTGTGATACTGAAACTAAACCACTATGCATTTGGAGCATATTTGAAGCAAATTGTCGCTTGTTTTTTACAGTGCCACTAGAGTAGTGTAGTAGAGTAATGGTACACAACCATTTGTTTGCCGGGAGTGTTTCCTCCTTCATCATGACAATGCTAGCTGCCACACATCGGCCGAAACAACTCTATATTTGAAAGATCAAAAGATGCGGGTCATGCGCCGCACAGAGTTGACTTGGTCCCCAACAAGTACTATTTATTCCCAACCGTGAAGAATAAATTACGTGATAAACGTTTTCCGAACCGTGAACAAGCTGTTGATGCGTTCAAAATGCCCGTTTTGGAGATACCACAATCAGAATGGAAAAAGTGCAACGAAAATTGGTTCCAACGTATGCAAAAGTGCATCGATCATCACGGCGAATATTTTGAAAAGCAATAAAACTATAATAAATGCTAAATGTTTGTTTCACTTTGTTATTCTGGATACATAAATTGCAGCCCTCGTACTAATTTTTAATCTACCGAATTCCATAATACATAATAATGTACGTACGTAGTAATGTTACGAGCCATAACGCGCTTACGGTAGGTATTAAATACCATCAAATTATTATAAAAATAATAGCACTAGTCCGTCTGCAACCTGTTCGAAGTGTCAGGCAATTCAAAGGTTTACTTAATACCTATCCTAAGCGTTTGAACTCACCGTGAATATAACATAACATGTCATGTCATTAGCAAGGGAACTGTGACTCATCTATGACGAGAAAGTAGAGTTGCGTGACGTAATTTATGAGTACTACCTAACTTTTCCTTGGTTTTAATGAATACGTCTATAACGACCTCGGCTTGTTTGCCCCCTGTGACGTAAAAAAAAAGTTTTCATAAGTGGGAGTAGTTAATTAACCTATCTGTGTGTATATCACTATCTCTTTGATACCTACAGCAATCCAGCTCTCGCCCTCGCGTCGTCCGCCGCGGTCACGATGACTCTGAGATCGAAGATGCAGAACCGTCCAGCATTGATCATCTGTTGCTGCTGTGCCACGGAGTGGGGTCTGCGTGTGACATGCGCTTCAGATCTGTAGAGGAAGTTGGTAAGTTATACAGAATATGGTTAAATTTTTGGAGCCTTAAACTTTATTTGGAAAAAAAAAGTGTTTTATTACTACAGAAATGCTTTTTTTAGTTTTCGGTGTAGACAGTAAATGTGACGAATCCTAGTGTAATTTTCTATGAATTTATTTATTTTATTATATAACAATAATAATAATAAACTTTAATGCGAACACAAGATTCATAAGGGTACATAAAAAAAAACAATGTTAACAACAAAATCTACAAACCTAAAATACTAAGACACACAAAAAAAGTTGAAAGAATTATCTTGCCATTTTGATCTAGTACTTGTACGTAATTATTTTTTACGAAAGACTTCTTATAATGGTATTGTTGCTGCTGTCAACTCTGGACACGAATTTAACTACACGGTTTCTCTGGATGACTTCAAAGGAGTTAACTGTCTTTCTCCGTTGAGCCTGCCTGTAGCTGTCTGACATCTCGATACCAATAAGTAAGCAAACCAACTACCTCATGCGGAGCAGATGTACTTTGTAGCTTTTGCCACAGCAAGTTATGATTCAGAGTGTCAAAGCCCGATTTAGGTCTAAAAAACAGGCGTATACGCTCGTCTGACCACACTTGTAATAGTTAACAACTTGTTTCAAGCCAATAATAGCCATATCTGTTGAGACTTGTGATCTAAAAGCGAGTTGACCATCGTCTAGGTGTAAAAAAGGTGTTAAGTTTTTATCAATAAATCACTGTACACACAAAAAGACATATACTATATTACACCCGGACACAGAACAAATAGTCGCACACATAACACAGTTATTTGTCCTGTGTGAGAATCGAACCCATGACCTCTGACTTAACAGTGTGTCACTAACCACTACACCACACCCCGCCAACATGTTTTATATATTTTCTTTTTTTTGCAGTGGAAGACTTCAGAGCGACCAGCTTGCAACTTGTCCAGTCTCATTATAAAAACTCATACGATCAGGGCATCGTGAACAGAGTTGAGGTAAATACAGCCTTAACTTATTTATTTATTTATTTGGACAACCAACAAGAACATACACCTTAAAAGCAAGAGATACAGTGCTACCAACATGCAGTAAAAAAATTAGAACGACCTCTTTTACGCGGGTCTTTTTATTGACATATTCCCGATACTTTTTACACAGAGTTGTGACTGATATAGTTTGACGACCGGATGGCGTAGTGGTTTGTGTAACGGACTGCTATTCCAAAGGTCGCGGGTTCGATTCCCGCTCAAGTCAAACATTTGTGTGCATGAACATTTGATGTTTGATTTGGCATGGGTGTTTCTATGTATAATATGTATGTATTTACAAAAAAAAAAAGTATATATGTATTTATATCAGTTGTCTAGTACCCATAGTACAAGCTCTGCTTAGTTTGGGACTAGATGGCGTTGTGTGTATGTGGTAGAATATTATTATATATTATATTATATACAATGACAGTGATATACAACCTTGTTTGTTCCGAGGGTCAATCCATAAATTACGTTACACGAATTTCATTTATACCCATGCAACCTTTTTTTTAACGTGTGTATATTCCGTCGGGCCGTCACTCCACCGGGGATTGCGGCAGGGTGGTGTGTCAAAATCGAACCGACTAAAACCACACGGTGTGCCAATCTACGCCTGAAATAGGAATTATCTAGGAACTGCTACCCATGTAGTCCTTAGCTCGGACCTTATTTCCCTCGCACAGGTTTTAACATATGAGGGATCTCTCCTAGTATGACTTCCCATGATCTTCCTTATTTGACAATTACACTTATAGAAAAAAAATAGCAGTTCCAAAATTAATTTTATATTCTTTTAAAATATTTCAACTTTAAAAATAATTTGCTTGAATAATTTTTAGAGAAAGATAAGAAGAAAAAGACATTTATTGCAAAAAAACTGAGTGACTGACTGATTTTAAGATTTTTTCGACAGAATTTCATACTTCACACTTTAAGACCTGTTCCGTTACCCCAATATGTGACGTGGCTTATAGATGACCCTTAACATTAATATTGCACTTGATAAGACATGATAGTTTAAATATTTAAACTATCATATCTCTCTATCATGTTAAAAGAAACTAGCTAGTGATTCTCGACTATGTCCCCCCCCCCCCCCCCCCCCCCCCCAGGTGCTGCCCATCTCCTGGCACGAGGCGCTGCACTCGGGCGAGACGGGCGTGGACCGGCGCCTGGCGCAGATCACGCTCGACAGCATCCCTCGCCTTCGGAACTTCACCAACGACACCGTGCTCGATGTACTCTTCTACACCAGTCCGGTTTTCTGTCAGGTAATTAACAGAAAAAAACATTAGACTAATAAGAGTATTTCATAAACTTCCGCTACAAAGAAATCGGATTGAAAAATGTTCAAGAACGCTCCGAAAAAATGGTTGTTTAACACAAAATAATTTGCATGCTTGTTAAATTTATTGTAATCTTCCATTTTATTTATAGTGTGATTGGGTAACTGTTAAAACTTTACCTACCTACCTTTACTAGAAAACATCTATATAACGTGTCCGTCATCTCACTCTAAACAAAGGAGCGAAAAGCATAGAATGAGAAAACAAATTGCAATCCGATAAGGAGGGATAAGGAGGGGAGGGACCTTTAGCATTTATCTATTTAAAGGACGATAACGTGTGGTGGATTAAGGATACGGAGTGTCACCACTCCTATTTATTTCGTGGGTGTCGTAAGAGCGGACTAAGGGAGCGAACTACGCACAACAAAAGCACTGCAAAGAGGAGGAACACTCAAAATAAGCCCTATACCAACCCGTCTGGCCAGCGTGGTATAGTAAGCCAAAACCTTTAACTAGAGACCTATGTCCAGCAGTGGACTGTTAAAAGCTCTGTAACACAGTTCTTATACAATAAATGTCTTTGTCTTTGAAATTTTACCGACGGAGAACCTTACTTGAGTACATATTGACCGAGACCGATTGGAGTAACACCAGGGCCTCACAGAGAACCAGGGTTAAACAGTTCTTTCGTTACTATTTACAGAGTAAGTTAGGTGCCCAAACCTTCTCCCTCCCCCTGATTCTGATGGGATATTGTCATATCTGAAAATTGAAATGGTCATAACCATAGAGATAATATAAAAAGAGAGAGCGAACTGTATATTCCTCTGTAAGTGGTAGCTACGGCCGGTAGACAGAGAAAGAAGAAAGTTTTGGTCTTTCATCTCTCTTTGCTCTCTGCACTGATTGGCTGCTGCTTTTCTATAATATATATAGGAATAGTTTTTATAGCCAATAAAATAGGCAATCTGTGACAAGAGCAGAGGGAGATGCAAGACTTAAACAATCTTCTTTCTCTCTCTCTATCAACCGTATCCGATAGCACCTTGTGTGCATACTCTAACATTTTTATAATCTCTTTGGTCATAACTTTTAAACATAAAACTTTTTAATTTATTTTTTGTTCTTTCATTACTTTTACTAAGTGTGCAATAGAAATACCAAGATAGTTTTATTTTACAGACAATACTGAACACGGTGTGCCAAGAGCTAAATCGAATTTACCAGCTATTCAAGAAGAGGAATCCATCCTTCGAAGGAGGAGTGTCTCTCGGAGGACACTCCCTCGGTAGCGTCATCCTCTATGATCTTCTGTGTCATCAACTTGCAGAGGTGAGCTTTAAATAAATATTTGATATGGTTATGTTACGCTCAAAGACAGAGAACGCTCATTGAGCGAAAAAAAGCGCTGTGGTCACTGTGAAATACACATAACCACATCTTACCATTTTATCTGCCTACCCTTATCCCAATTTTATTTGGGGTCTTCGCAGTAAGTATGATTCTTCCATTCTACTCCATAATTCGTTTACTCCCTTTCTGGCCATATCCTCACTCACACAGTCCATCCACCTTTTCTTTTCTCTTGTACCCTACAACTCGCATAACTTTCCAACACTTTCTTCGCCAAATTTTATTTTCATGTATGTTTGTAAAGTTTGTAAAAGGACCAAATAATAAGGATGATGATTATTATGTTGATGATAATGATGAAAATTGTGATAATTATGTTGATATATGTTACAGAGCGAACGCCGCGAGAGCCAGGTGTCTGAGAAGCAGTATGTGCCCGGCCCGGCAGGGACCGGACGACCCGGCGTTCTCTACCCGCGGTTGGAGTTTGAACCGGCCGCGCTTTATGCCCTAGGGAGTCCCATCGGTAAGTTATACCGGAGCTCTGAACCCTCCCTCTACCTAAAACTGGGGAGGGTTGACTGTAAAGTTGCAGTGGTCCATCGACGACGGCAGTCACTAATCATTTTATAGGATTAAATTGTCTTCCTTCCTCCGGACCTTCTTTTCCCAAAACTTTTTCAAATCCGACGCCACCAAAGTCGAAGATGTGGGTATGCGGATTGCGAGGGTTAAGTGGAGATGGGCGGGGCACTGGGCCAGACGAGACGACGACTGAGGGACTGAGGCTGTTACCGAATGGTGACCAAGAGATATGCGATAGGACAGTGTGAGGGCGGTAGGTGAGCAATGGATCCGGCTGGCACTAAGCCGCCAGGAGTGTCGTGAGGCCTTTACCCAACATCGGGTGCAACAGGCTGCTTAGATAAATAGAGGTAAAGGTAAATAGAGGTCGGCTTTAAGTCTACTTCGATACGGCTGATCTTTGATTTGTTAAGCGGAGCGACTGGCATCAAACCTCCACAACCCAAGCACTAGGCAATATCAAAGTTCTGTAGAAAGACTATTGATGGACTTTTTAAGACTCCAAATACCCCCTTTTTTTTCCCGTGCGGAAATCCTCTCGGATACCACCTATCGGTGGCATGTCGGACTCGAACCGACTAAAACCGCACGCCGTCTATTCGGTACTAATAGCCGGGGAACCAGGTATACCCTAGAAAGGAAGTCCCTGGTGCAACTCCAAATACCCGTAACGATTGCCACAGATGTTTGCATGACAACCTTAACGTGCTCAATGTGCCACTTAGCCACGAACCACGAGCACGAGTACTAAATACCCAGCAGTCTGTTCCTCTCACAGAACCTCTCTCACTACTCGATAACCACTCACACTTGGCTTTATATCTTCTATCCTTTTCTTTTCCAGCGATATTCGAATGCATCCGCGGCGTAGAGTCCTTAGGAGCTGAATTCGCTCTGCCAACTTGCAAGAACTTCTTCAATATCTTCCATCCTTACGACCCCATAGCGTATAGGTAAGCAGATTAAATAAAAAGTAACGCTACTGATTTTGTTTTGCTTGAACTTTCATTGCGCGATGCAGCATCGGTAGTTACTATGTAGTTCGTCAGTTTTTCGATAGATGGCGTTGTAGTACGTTTTGTTACGATTGTGTGGATTTTGCCTTATAATGTGGAAAATTCTTCTTATCATGTTAAAATAAAATATTTTTTCTTTATTATACGTAAATATATACTGAAATATATACTACATCTATCATATATAGACGCGTGGTTAAATACGTGGCACATTGACGTGTCATGTCAGTTCTGTCAGAAATGAAAGATTGACACATTGAAGAATGTTGCCTTTATCACACCTTACTTGATTTTTAGATTCTTTGTTTTAACTTTTGTTTTATTTTTGTATGCTGTGCTTTATGAAATAAATAATATTCCATTCTATTGTACATGTAATAAAACCAATCAGTTATTTTTATTTATTACAGAATTGAACCCCTGATCAACAGTCGGCTAAAGGAATTGAAGCCATATTTGATACCACATCACAAAGGAAGAAAGAGGATGCATTTGGGTAAATTTTATTTTAGATTAAAAAAGTTACATTAAATTAAAAATTCTAAAAGAAGATAACGAAGTTGGTGGCAGGTCCAACCGACCTCCCATCGGCCCTTCCCCCCATTTAGAAGTGGCTTAGCTCATAATTTCCTTCCCCCCCCCCCCCCCCCCCCCCCCCCCCCTTTACGTTTAAATAATAGTTACGTTCCATAACAGAGCTAAAAGATACAATGGCTCGTGTGGGTGCCGATCTCAAACAGAAGCTGGTGGAGTCCCTCCGTAATACCTGGAACAAGTGGAAGTCCACGCCCACCGATGGATCTCTCGAGCAGGTCAGTTTCTTTTTAACAAACTACACATATAGTGTTGTGGTTTAAGCGGTCACCTCGCCGCTTCCTACTTCGCTGAGTGTTGCGGGTTCGATCCCTACATGGGACAACACTTTGTCTTAAACACAAATTGTTGTTCTAAGTCTGGATGTTCTTTGTGTCTGTTTCATGTATGTTTGTAAAGGCCTGGTTGGTTTGGTATAGGGTTCGTGTGAGGTTTGCCTTCTCTTTGCAGTGCTGTTGTCCTGCGTAGTTTGCTCCCTTAGTCGATTCTTACGACACCCTAGTAATTAATAGGGGTGGTGACGCTTCATATTCTTATTCTGTCACCTCGCGTTGTTGGTCCAAGCCAGAAGTCGTGGGTTCGATTCCACCCAGTTCAATTCCATTGGTTCTGTGTCTGAGTGTAATTTATCTACAATATGTATGTTTTAAAAAAATATATAAGTAGGTTTATCAGTAGTAGTCTGGCTACCATTTTTTTTCGCATCTGTAATAGGTGTTCCACAGGGGTCTGTTCTTGGACTCCTTCTGTGAAACATAGGGTACGACTGGGTCCTGGCTCCCATAGAACAGGCTCTGCCTAGTTTGGGATCAGACGACGATCAGACCTTTGCCTAAGCCATCAGAATCATTAAACTCTAAACCAACAAGGGAGCGAAATGTTATTAATAAAATGATTTTATGACAATGAATGAATGACACCCTTAAATGTACTACATGGAAAATAAATCTCACCTACAGGTTGTGGAAGAAGATTTGGAAAGAGAGCAGCTATTTGAAAATAAAGAAGAATTAGCGAAAGAGAGAGAGTTGGTAAGAAATTATGTTTTATGTAATTTGTTTGTGGGAGAAGCATGCTTCGACACAGAGGAGGACACTGAGGAGGAAATGGACTGAACGAAGAAGAAATAACTCTTCAGCTTATATTAATGACTGCCTCGGTGATGCAGTGGTAGCGTATGCGACTACAGCAGTCTCAGCTAAGGTCTCGTGTTTGATTCCCGGGTCAGACCAAATGTTTGTATGCAAATATTTGTTTCAGAGTTTAGGTGTTTGCCATGTATAATATGTATGTATTACCAAAAAGGTATAAGTATTTTTAACAGTCAAATCTAGTTTTTTATAGTAAAAAAGCTCTGCCTCAGTTTTAAAAATAGATGCGTTTTTTGTGTTACATGTCTGAAAATAAATTATTATTAAAATTAGAATAAAGAATCCCGTTTTTTAATATTTATTAATGAGCTTTCCAACACCGAAAAGAATTTTCAATTTGAACTAGAAGGCCAATAAAATTCTCGTTATAAGAGTTCGGTGAAAATTCAGTTCCGATCAACTCTATCTCGCAACTGTCATAAAAGTTATTTTCGAGGTAAAATAGTAACCAGTTCTAAGACTAACAGATTACCGATTCAATTTTCTATCACAATACGATATAATCGCATAACAGTCAACGTCGGATGTTTAATACTTTACTACGAAAATAACTTTTATGACAGTGACGATATCGAGACTTGATCGGAACAGAATTGTGGCCGAACTTTTATTACGAGAATTGGCCTTCAGTAGTTCTTTTAAAGTATTAGTGTATATAAAATATATATAATAATAATAAGAGCCTCGACCAACACCTTAAGAGGCTCACGTTGGACGGCTGGATCAAGGGTCTGATACAGAAGGCAGTCCTCCTTGACACGGCTCGTATAGTGAGGAGGTTCCTATCTTTGTAGTCCTAAACCACTGGTGTCTTGGTACCTGTACCCGATGTCGGTGGTCTACTATTTTTTAATATTTTTAAATGTATTTTTATTTCTTTTGTAATATATTTAAAATGTAATTAATATGTATATATAATTTAATAAAGAGAATAATAATAATATATTTATTTGTCAGAATATGGGTTTACAGAGTTGTTTAGTAGGTACGTTTTAGATGCTAGCCACATTCTACCATTATCAGGTGAACAAAATGTTAATATAGTGAATTTACTGGTTTTTTTTTTACAATTTAGTCATGCATTATTTAGTAATATAGTAATAATTATTTATTATCTCATCGTCAAAAAATTCTTTGACACTGTAGAAACATTTATCTAAGAGCAACGTAAATAATTTTCTTTTAAAAACATTAATGGTATCTTCCTTAAATCTATTTGGTAGCTTGTTATAAATATGTATAGCCATACAGTATACATTCCTACTATACATACTTATTCTTTGTCTGGGAACTAAGAGTTTATGTGTATTTCTGCTTGACCTGGCGACAGCGTCGTTATGTTTACTAAATAGCCGTTGATGTTTGTGCACAAAAACACAGATCTCGTAAATATAAAAGACTAGGTAGAGGGAGTATGTTTGTATTTCTAAAATGCTCTTTGCAACTATCGGTTTGCTGGAAAAATTGGATGTGCTCGCATTTCATTTCTTTGCACAAGAAATGCCCTATTTGCCTCAATGAATTGCCCATATTATAATCGCATATCGTAGTTTTGGGCGACACATAGCGTGGTATGCACTTAAAGCAGTGATAAGAGTCGATATTTGTTTAAGGCGATATATAGCGTAAACAAATTTATCCAAATTCATGCAAAGGTTCTGAATATGCTGCTTCCAATTACAGTGTTTGTCTATTCTTCAACTACATTATTATTACATTTAATATCTAATTTAATGGGTTTACTATTGTATGTCTGAAATTGTATCATTTTCGTTTTATTACATTTATTTAAGGAAATTACTTTCAAACCAATTGATAATTTTACCCAGTTCTTGTTTACTTATTCTTGTTATTTTTATCGCATCTTCTATAATTAAAGGGTATGCCCATCGGGTATAGTACGCATTTATGCTCGTCACATTCGGTAATGTTTGTATATAAAATAAACAATAAAGGCCCTATAATACTCCCCTGAGGTACCCCAGAACTATTTTAAAGTCGTTTAAATTCCGATCTAGAGGATGTATTATATTTACCAGAAATGCATATATTTGCAGTCCACTCCTGAGATGCTGGGCCGTCTGAACGGAGGGCGTCGCGTGGACTACGTTCTGCAAGAGGCGCCTCTCGAGATGATCAATGAGTACCTTTTCGCTATGAGCAGCCACGTTGGATATTGGTGAGTCATCTCTACTTCTCTCTCTTTTCTCTATTTCTTTCCATTTTGATGTTTAAGTGTACGACTCCAGGGCCTGTTTTGGCCTAGGGAGTATTGTTTCGTGTGGAAACCCCCACGGATCATTAAACTCGAACAGAGCCGAAGGTGAAGTTGGATATCGGACTTGAACCGACTTAAACCACACGGTGTACCGTAACAAGTGAGTCTGTTGCGGGAGACCCAGGATAAACTGATACTGCCTTCACGGATGGTGTAGTGGTTTAAGCGGTCGCCACGCCACTTCTTTACGTTGTGGGTCCGATCCCCACATGGGACTACACTTTGTGTGATCCACAAATTGTTGTTCTGAGTCTGGGTGTTCTTTGTGTCCGTCCCTCACGACACAGGATATATTCCTAGAGCGGGAGTTGTCTTTTTAAAAAATAAAAAAGGAAGAAGCCACCGAAAAAAACTATATCTTTAAATCTTAATTTACTTACTAACAAACCCTCCCCCCCTTTTGCATAGTAAATTTACAGGAAAGCGTAGGGGAAAGATTTTTTAAAAACAAAAAGGATGGTGTTTCAGGGAATTGTAGATCGATGTTACATTCATAAGCGACTGTTGTAAGCGCTCGTTTTATTTTTTACGAAAACTAAAATAAAAATGTTGTTCACCCCCCTAGGGAGCTGAAGCCAGATGATTTTGCTGCTCGGGAGATATACTCAGCTTTGGAGTCCAGCCGGACTCCACGGTCCCACAGCAGAGCATGAGTGTACAACGGACGAGGAAGACTGGTAAATATTAATAATTATAGGGATATAAGCGCGGTATAAATATGGGGTATACTAGCTGGCACCCGCCGTATAGTGGTGTAGTACGATACATGACTGCAGTCCATGAGGCCTCGGGTTCGATTCCCGCACCGGGCAAAATATTAAAGGGTTTTTCTTAGAGGAATAATAGCTTAAATTACTCCTTATATAGACAGCAACCTGGTAGTAAAATATTATCAAAATCTATCCAGCCCTTTTGAAGATTACCCGGAACAAACAGACTGACAGACGGACAAAAACATTTAAACTGGTTTCTAGGCATAGGTTTCGTGCAAATAACCCTGTGAGCATGAATAAAAACCTATCGTTTTGACATCACAGACACTTTCTTTTAATTATTTATATACGGTATACAGGGTTACTGAGTGATTTAAAAGGTTATGGTTGCCATCATTTCTGATAGATTTCACTATGAAATACTATACCCCAAAACCTAACCATTTTCAAGAGATGGAACTTTACGTTTTATAAAAATGCGAAGTTTTGACCTTACTAATACAATTTTTTTACAACTTTTATCCTTTACTTTGTGCTTTTTGTACTGTTTTTGTGTAGTTAATAAATTGTTTTATAATTTCAATTACCGGCCCCGGTAGATGGTTAATAATAGCAAAAATAAATAAATATGCAATTATTTTTTTCTTTGACGAATAATATAGAAAAAAGTTAACAGTGAAACTGCAGATTTGTTTTAAAAAAATGTACGTATTCTCAGCTATCTAACAAGGTATAATAGTCTAGGATAGTATCAGAATTCATAGAAAATAACTTAGATGAAAGACCAGGGGTGTAGTTGTAACCTAGTTGAAAACTTGGCTTGTATTTTTGGACTCTTTTATTTTCTACTAGCTGACCCTGCAAACGTTGTTTTGCTATTTTCATTATTTAATTATTTATTTATTTTAATTTCGTAAAATCCGTTCTTAGCTGACCTCTACTCGGTGAAAAGAATATTCCTACCAAATTTCAAGTCTTTAACTCTAATGGTTCCAGAGATATCGTGATGAGTGTCTATATACGTGAAAATCTCTTTTATATATATATAGATTCGTGACTAACAGACTTACCCAGTAACCTTGTATATAAATAATTAAATATATAAAAGGTATTGACGTAAGACCAGTAGTAAATGAGTTATTTTTATGTCGTCATTAGGTGAGAGATATAAAAAACACGTTAGCTGCGTTGCCTCAAAAACTACACCCGTACAATTACGGAGGGACTTCTAAAAATTTCTAATAACATTAATATTATTTGATGTTGTTAATAGTTATTAATTTTTGAGCAATGCAAGCTTCGGCTTCGATATAAGCTCTCAAATAAAACAGATATCTGTTTGAATCAAAGACTCGGAAAAAGCTGGTTAAAGCACCTGTCCTGGGTTGGTCTTTTTTGCTTGTACATTCTCTTCCCGTAACTCTATGAAAGCAATATATAGCGGGATAAATACCCTGTGTGGAGGAACCTCCGACCAGGCTAGGTGATCATGCCTGCCTGTCAACAGTTGGTGTTGGGAAGTCGTATACTCTAATCGCCGAGAACTTTAATTGCGCGATGAAGGATTAGTAGTATTATTATAAAGTATGTTTTTTTTTGTAAATGGAAGTCACTGCATGTATATATTTATTTTGTTTGTAATTTAATTTATTTGATTATGACCTAACGGCTGCAAGCTGATATGTTCACATCTAGTGATAAATGTAGTAATCTCTGACTTTTTCAAGCACCGAATTATCCAATTAGCCAGATAGCGAGTCTCTTTTTAAAATTTATTGTCTTTTAAGTTAGTTAGTTTTAATTCTTTTTTGTTCCTGGCGACGCCGTCCTCACATATGTGTGACCATAATGCAATATTGCAAGAAAAAAGTAAAATAATGAATATATGGTAAATATTTGTTGGTTTGGTTGTTTTAAAGCGTTACGCTTCGTTTCATTCCCGACTCCTAAAATTTACCAATAACCAGATCCAGTTACACTTACACGTGTATGAATCGGGACAGACGTATTATGATCGATGTATTCGATTAAGATATTGGTTTAAATATTTTAGATGATTATGACCACACATAATATTGTTTATGAAATAAATAGAGAAAGAAATAAAAAAAAATATTTTATAAAAATACATTATCTCTCATCCACATCAACAGCCTAGATAGTCACTTGCTGGACATAGGCCCTCCTTAGAAGGAGGTTTGGGCATTACTATACCAAGCTGGTCTAGATCGGGTTTGGTATAGGGTTTCCCCCCGGGCTGGGTGGGCACACAGCCGGGGAAACCCGATACCAACCCAAGATTACACCCAAGCCCGGGGGGGGGGACCCCCCCGGGCTGGGTGTAAATCTGTACGCAGACGGTAACCCTGGTGACAGCCCGCGGGGCAACTTCCAAGAGGCGGCGCGCCTCCGGGCCACAGGGGGGAGTCTCCCTGGTGGTGCGGGCGCAGTGAGGCGCCTGGGCTTACGGGTGGCTGGCCCTAGAAAGACGGAGGCCCTGTTATTTCATGGGTGCCCCGTCGTGGGCCACCCCCCATGGGGCCTCAATCGTGGTAAACTCGGTCCTCGTACCGGTTCGGGCCCAGGATGAAATATTCGGGCCTGATCCTCGACGGGAGGGGCTTTCGACGACGACTTCCGGACAGCTTGCTCCAAAGCTGGCGGCGCTGCGTCTGCCCTAGTAGACTCTTGCCCAATATGGGTGGACCCAGCGCGCGCAAGACGGATGTACACGGGGGTTGGTCGGTTCAATGGCCATGTACGGTGGCACCCGGTGTGGGCGGCGGCTATGACCGCCAGATAGGGTACGCCTCTTGCGCACTCAGAGGGTAATGCGGTCAGAAGCCATACGCGGTTGAACGCACCGTTCTACGGAGGTCGGCATGCGCGTTGGCCGGAAATCCCCAGTGGATTTGGAGCGGAAGTGCGCGCCGAAGTTTATCGGCGTATTTGCTGACTCCGGGCGGCGAGAGCGTGTGATTTCGCCCTCCGCCCGAGGATGTGCGCGAGTGGCGCGAAGCCGCTCGCCGAGCCACGATGGCCTCGTTGGTCGTTCCGGCTGGAGACTCCACGCGCTGGCTTCGCCGCCGTGGAGGCTCTCCAGCCGGTCATCGCCGAGTGGGCAGGGCGGCAGCACGGGACCCTTTCCTTCCGGCTGACGCAGGTGCTTTCCGGGCACGGTTGCTTCGGAAAGTACCTGCACACGGTCGCTAGGAGGGAACTGAGTCCCGCCTGCCACCACTGCGACTGCAGTGAGGACTCGGCCCAGCACACGCTGGCGGTCTGCCCGCATGGGCGGCGCAGCGCCGGGCCCTCACTGCAGTCATCGGAGTGGATCTCTCGCTACCGGCCGTAGTACGCCTCCATGGCCGGTAGCGACAGTTGTTTTTACCGCGGTCGCAACCTTCTGCGAGGTAGTAATCTCGCGGTAGGAGGCGGCGGAGAGGGCCCGGGAGGACGACCTCCACTCGGACCCGATCCGCCGCCGGCGAACCGGGCGGCGGAGGCCCGCCTATCACAGCCTCATGCCGCCCTGAGTGTGGCCGCGGTGGACGGGGTGGGTTTCCCCTCCACCCGCATTAGTTGGCCAGCCGCGAGGGGGCGGCGTCCGCGTGTGCCGGACGTCGCCTAAAGAGAGGAACATCAACATTTGAGACGGAGCCCGCACCAGGAGCGGGCTGGCGCTAGGAGGGGTCCGGATGTCTTAACAACAGCTGTTCCCGGATCCCTCCTGTTACAGGCGCAGAGTGGCACACCGTGTGGTTTTAGTCGGTCCGAGTCCGACACACCACCCCGCCGCAAACCCCGGAGGGGTGACGGACCGAGGGGATTTCCACACGTTAAAAAAAAAAAAAAAAAGGGTTTGTTTCAAGTTTTCCATCTCTTTGCAGTGCTGTTGACTTGCGTAGTTTTCTCCCTTAGTCGACTTTTACGACACCCACGATGAATGGGGGTGGTGACATTACGTATTCTTAATCCGACACCACACTGATGACGACGAAACACATCAATTTACTGTAAAATATTACGGCGCAATATCAAATGTCAGCTGTATTAGATTGCCGCTCGGACCAAGGTTCGACGACCGCAAGCGCCTTCATCAAAATTTGTCTCTCTTAGTTTTCGGGAGCATTTCTCAAACACAGAGTGTGTATACATGAAAATGGTGCCTATATCTTTGTCACTTATACAAGTATGTGACACTGGCATTCAAAAACTTAATATGGGCTTTGGTGGCTTATAATATTTTTTCTTATTTCTTACAGGAAGGACATATTGCGAGTTGCAGGTAGCGAAAATACTTAAAATATTAATCATGAGTTCAGAAAATAGTGAGAACATCGATCAGCCCCCCCCCCCCCCCCCCTCTGACCAATCAGGTTCCAAGCTCTCAAGTGAAACTGTAATTTCTTGCAACCTGGTTGCCTGGTGTAAGTTTATTTGACTTCTAGTCCATCGTCACGGTGACCGCGTTCACCAATCGCAACGCCAAAACGCTGCTCGATGTTGAGAAGCGAGTTGATGGAAATAAATTGACTAAGCCCTCTGATGGTCAGGGGCGGAGCTTATCGCAGCGTCCACATTTCCTTAACGCGAATGGACCATAGATCAAACTGCTGTATGTTTTAAAAATTTATTTCTCAAAATAATACAATTCACTTTATATTGGGGAATACAAATGTGAACTTTAATAGTAAACTTATAGTACGAGCGTATTTGATGGTGTCAACAACAATTGTAGCAATTTTATCAATTAAAAATGTGGGTACATTAAAAAGAAAAATATAACAGTTCTGCCGGGGTCGTATGCCAAGGGGAGAAGTACAATGCAAATTCGTAATGCTAAAATCTAGAAAACTTCGCAATATGTAGAACCTAAGGGATTAAATGTTTATGATGTATTATCTTTCATGTTATTTGGTAATGGTTGGTGCGCCTTC